GAGAGTTAATATTAAGTTAAGTGGAAACTTCGTTAGGACTTGAGCCGCTGAAGGTTTGGAACCTGTCCGAGGTAATAATGAAATGCAAATTCGGGACCATACCGCTCCGGCATACTCCTCACGTTCTAATTTTCGCAGCGATATTATTATTATTTTACCCTGTTATTAAATTAATATTAATTATTTTCCAAGGTAGAAACTTAAGGATCTTCTCTTATATAAGAGTATTTACAGGTCTTAAAGATATTACACGATGTCCTTAAGAATTTTCTGTTAGAATCTGGATGAAAAAGCAAACAAATAATTTGGAAACAATATAAATAATGACATAAACACTAGCGGATCCAGGATTTAATTTTGGGGAGGGCTTCAGCCCCAAAGCTTTTTTTTCATAAAAATTACGATAATTACTTTGGAAAAAAAGCAAGAAACTAACTATCTATGTGAAATGGTGTTTAAGTGATTCCTTAAGTCCTTTTAAATGTAATTACACGAACAATAATACTTTAAGAGATAATTTTTTAATATATTTTTCCATAAAAAATGGTTATATCTTACCATTTTGTGAGGGCTTCAGCCCGAAAGCCCTCCCCTCCCCCGTAAATAACTCAGCGGAAAAACTTAATTTAAAATATTGTTGGGGTGGAGTAGGAATGGGATATCGAAGGCCCAATATTTATATTGTCGTCGATATTAATAATGCCCAATTATTACTACTATACCATGTCTACATTAGGTGGGTAACTACCTTGAAAGGAGCAACTTTAAGAAAATATTTCCCCACCGTCCCAAGTCGCTTGAAAGCTAATAGCACTGGAGCCAGGTCCCAAAAATCGACCTGATCGCAGGCGAAGGTTTGATTGTTAATTACGAAAGTGTATGTTATTCTGAGTAAAAAAAATCTTGTCTGCCGTTCCAGAGCCGCTGCTTTCAAAAATGGCGGCTGATTTAAAGAATATTAGGCTAATGATTTGAGGATCGAAACGGGAAATCCATTGCGAAAAGTGTGAGAAAAGTTTTTATTTTTTTAAATTTTATATATGGGTTTAAACATGCAAAAAATAAAATTGTTAAAGCGGGCCACCAACTGAAAACTTTTTACAGCCAAAAAAGTCAGATTTTTTCGATAACTCCTAAACAATGCATAAAGCGAAAAATATATTCTTTAATAAATTAAAGAACGTTAAATTTGTCTTCAAATGAGTACATAAACTTTAAAATTTAGTTACGCAGTAAAAAGTTTTCCCTTGGTGGCCTGCGTTACCAAGTTTGTTTTTTACATGTCTAAACCCATATATAAAATTTTAAAAAATATAAACTATTTTTCTACTCACATTTTTCGAAATGGATTTCCCGTTTCGATCCTCAAATTATTAGCCTAATACTCTTTAAATCAGCCGCCATTTTTGAAAGCAGCGGCTCCGTAACGGCAGACGATGTTTTTTTACTCAGAATAACACACACTTTCGTAATTTATAATCAAACCTTCGCCTGCAATCAGATCGATTTTTGGGTCCTGGCTCCAGGCTATAAGTTGGTTCTCCCGGACTACTGGGTCTCTCAATTCCTTACTGGGCATAGCGTTTTCCGCTCTAACTTACATAGTTTTGGAAAAGACATAGATCCCCTATCCCCCACTTGCGGAGTACCGGAGAAGGCTGAGCATGTTATCGTCAACTGCACCGCCTTTGATGGACTAAGGGCCGGGATGATAAGAAAAATTGGAGTATATGGCCTCACGGAGGATGAATTTCCCGAGTTAGTGACTGAGCAGAACTACCCGTATTACAAAGATCTTGTTTACGGGTGGAAAGCTGCTCTGGGGCCGTCCCACCTTAATCTGAGAAGAAGAGGACCTGCTAAAGGAAGGCCGAAAGGCTAATATGGTGAAAATAATGAAAAAAGAAGATATTTGAAAAAACAAAACTGAAAATTAATTTCAATGCCATTAATTAATGGCATGCACGTGTGATATGCCATCCCCGCAAAATCCCGTGTAGCCGAAAGGCAAGGAAGGGGGGCATAAATAAATAAATAATAAATGTCTACATTAGGAGATCACGGGACCATCTTCTTTTCAGCCGCCTCGGAGGGCAATCAGGTATTGAAGAGGATGCAAGGTTAGAAAAAAGAGGTTTGTGATTATTCCGAAGTTCATTATGGAAAGATAGGTATCTGGATTGAGGAAGGTGCATTGAGGATTTTACGAAAGATTTGGAATCAATGTAAATAATAACTCAGTGAAAAAACCTAATTTTAAAAACACATGTTTACTTATTGCTTCAAATGACTAGCTTGTTCGTAAGCTCTTATCACATTTTATATTTTTAAAACAAATTTATTTGTATTTGTTTATACAGTTGTAGATTTTAATAAACGAATAAAAGAGGGTTTATTTATTAATTTTTTTCTGAAAAGAAATGAAAGTTTTCTGTTTTTTTCCTTTCCCCTCGCAATCGACTCCGCCATTACCAATCCAAACTGATCAGCACCTCACAAAGGCTTTCATTCGGAGTTGATGAACAGCATTCGTTTTCATTCCCAGGAGAATTATGAGATTTTCTTTTGTTTTTAAACTCCTGCCTTCGAAGAGTTGTGAATTTATCCAAAATTGAAGAGCACGTTAAGAATTCTCTTCTCGTATTGTAAGATACTTTATGATGAATTTGATATACAAACCTTTTTTTTTTTTTTTGTATCATTTTATCTGTCTTAGTTCATCAAATTCTATTACGCAACAAAACAATAACTTACCACTTGTGGCATTATTAAAGAAGACTAGAAATAAATAAAAACTTTCATTATAGTTACTACACTACTAAAGTTATTTGTAGTCAAAATTAGATTATGTTTTGTTAGATGTATCTATCTATATTAGTGTCTTGCAGACCGAAAATAATTTTTATGATTGAACATATTCACATAAATCAATTTAATTGCATAAATAAAATTAAACACTATTATGTTCTATAAAAATTGAAAAATACAAACAATTAAAAAATTGTGACCAAGCAGCATAATTTCAAATTTCAAGCATACAAGAAAGTCAAAATACAATTAAAATAAAAAATGTTCAATGTGTAAAAAATAATTTTTAGTTTTAATTAGTTTTAATTAGTTAAAAAAAATTAGTTACAAATAAATTGCAACGTTATCAATTTCAAGTTCGAACAATGCCAAACTTCATACATAAAATATATCATTCATTTCCAGACTTATAAACGAATATGTATTACTCCATGAATCGTTGTGTTGTTCTATGAACTATTTTTTTTTTTTTCAACAGTTCATAAGAACTGTTGTTTTTAGTCGACGAACAGTTCATTTACGTTTTTAAAAGTAGCAGAAACGCCCACTTCTAGTCAGACAATCGAAGAATTGTCAGTCTTAACCAACCGTGGTCGACTATCCAAGAACATTCGCAGCAGATTGGGAAATCATCATATGCGACTGATTGCTTCAACGCCTTCATCTCCGGTGAACGCTTCATCACCGGAGATGAAAACCTGTATGATAACCCAAAACGCATGAGGCAGTAGCTCTTTCCAAAAGAATCGCCACGAAGTACTATTAAGTCAGGCTTACACCGTAAAAACGACAAGTCTCTTTTGAATAATACAGAAAAACGAACTAAAAAGACTCATAGATATAAAAACAGAAAAGCAAACTAAATAAATATTCATAAGTTACTTTCTAACTTTAATCAGTTAATAATAAAAATAAAATGTTGACAAAAAATAAAGTTTTTTTTTGTTTTGTGGGTAAGTGGTTGACTGTCGTGAATAATGAAGAGAAGAATAGTTGGGGTGATCAGTCAAATAAGAAGGCAAAAATAAATAATAATATTTATATTTTTATGTTATCATTTATTTTTGCCTTCTTATTTGACTGATCACCCCAACTATTCTTCTCTTCTTTTTTTTTTTTTTTTTTTTTGTTAGTTTAATGAAATTTACAACTGTATACAAATACAATCAGTAAAAATGCCCAAATTAGAAATAATGACATGAAAAGGCGTGAAGAGGTAGCACTCCCTAAATAATTCTAGGTCAGACGATCACAAGGCCACAACCACAACATTTACGCAAGGTCCTGACACAGGAATTCGAGAAGATCCTCCGGATTTGTGAAAGGAAGGTCCTTCGTCAAATCTTTGAGTCGATACGTATAAATGACCAATGGAAAATAAGAAAAAATACAGAACTCCAAGAATTGTACAAAGAACCAGACATAGTCACTTACGTTAAATCAAGCTGTAAAAGATGTCTTGTGCACGTAGAAATGGTGGGTGAGGATCGATATCTAAAAAGACTATTCATGATAAACCATGAAGCAAAAGAAGGAGAGGAAGGCCCAGACTTAGATGGATTGGTGATGTGGAGGACGATTTGCAGAAGAAGGGAAAAGGACTATGGAGAAGCTGATGGAGGATTGAAGAAGCGTTGTTGGGGAGGCCAAGGAATTCCAACGACTGTAGAGCCATGGAAATAAATATAGAGAGGATCACTTTATTATCATGAAAGGGTGCTGCCTAATTACATTTATTAATCACTACAGACAATTTTTAAAATAACATATAAGTATATAGGATTAACAATATGCACTAGCGTATCCAGGATTTAATTTTGGGGGGGGGACTTCAGCCCAAAAGATTTTTTTTTCATATACATATAACGATAATTAATTTGAAAAAAATTTGAGAAATTAATTACCTATATGAAATGGTGTTTGAGTGGTTCTTGAAGTCCTATTAAATATAATTAAACGAACAAGAATACTTTAAGAGATAGTTTTTAATATTTTTTTCTGTAAAACCTGGGTTGACAATATGTATGAGCATTGTATACAATATATATATGTATTATTATTATTTTTTTAGTATTTCTTTTTTTTATATCTTTTTTTTAACATTTAATTTCCCTATTTCTCACTTCTCTCTCTATATCTATCTTTTTTTCAATTTTCCATTAAATACACAAATTAAAACTCTCAGGCTAGCCATGCACGTGGTGGTGAATGATTCCCAGAGAGTCGAGGACTATATTTTCAGCCAACCTGGCTACGTCCTTAATGTTTCTCGAGGAAGCTCCTTGTTCTTTTTGGAATCTTTCCGCGAGACCCAAACCAGAGGCCTCTCACGGTGAACACTGTCTCTCCGAAGGTCTCACGGAATTTCTCTTTTAGGAAAGGGATACATTTATCGTACGTGTTCTTCTTTTCCCTTTCCACTTCACCCCGCCTGATCGAGGTCATTGCTCTCAAAGCGGACAGTTGGATCCAAGATCAGCGCTGTCCTTCCTGTCTTGGAAAATGCGACGATATCCGCGTATCTCGTAGAGCCCTCACTATCGATGCAATATACCTCGTCAAAGCAGGTGAATTTCCTTTCCCTAAGGAGCCTCATCAACTCGAACTTGACCCGGTGGTGACGACGTGTTATGGGGGGGGGGGTATTGTTGTGGCATTTTCCCATCACATGGGCATAGTAATTATGATTTCTTGATTACGATTAAATTGATCCGATTACTATTGTAATCAGACAATAGTATCTCAGTTTTGCTCTATTTATAGTGCGTTTGAATCAAGTACAAATCGGCCTCATTAAGTTTTATTTTCAGTCGTAATCGTGTAATCATTTATTTTTTAATAATAATAATAATTTGTATTTATTTGTTTTCAGGGAATTCCCCATACAAATAGAGTTAGCTATAACGATACCAATGATATAATTAATATGAAAAACATATACAACTTATATACAAAGTAAAATTCATCAGGATTCAGTGACAACATCCTCTCCTGATAACAACTAAGCATCTGACTGTATGCCTAAATATAAACAATGAAATATAATATAATACCCCACATAATACAATAATTCAAAATACTTTACTTACTTAATCCAGTCCTCTGTTACCGCTGAGCAGTGTGAGGTTCCTTCTTATAGAGCCTGATCCAATAATCTCTATCCTGTGCCAGTTGTCTTCTCCTACTCCAGTCCATTCCTCTCCTGTCAAAGACTTCTTTAACTCCTTCTTCCCATCTTTTTCTTGGTCTTCCCTGTGTCCTCCTTCCCTCCTCCACTTTGACCTCTTAGGTAGCCCTGGCAATTCTGTTTTCAGCCGTTGGCGAGACATGTACAAACCACCTAAGTTGGTTTTCTTCGATTATTTCCTCTGCAGTCCTAAGGTCCAGATTAGCTCGTATGGTCACATTCCTAACGCGATCTCTTCTTGTTTTCCCTTCTATTTTCCTTAAATATCGCATCTCCATAGCTTGGATTTGGCTTTTGTGCTTGTAAGTGGTCCAAGACTCGCTTGTATATGTTAATATAGGGAGGAAGGTATTCTTGAAGACAATCTTCTTAGTGGCCTTTGAGACTTTTTGTCCAAGAAGCTCAAATTCAAAATAATACATCTAAATATAGCGAGCTAAATAAAATGACAAATAGTAATAAATAAAACTAGTAATAAAGATAAATGCAGGCATAGTACACAATATATAATATATAAACATGTCAATAGTAAAGGGGACTCTACACGGTAATTCGTGAATAAACGTCACAAGAAGTTCCAAGATTGCCCGCTATCGCTTTGATCATGAAGATCCTTACAGGTTCAATCATTACTGATCATTACTTATGGTTGCTGATTTAGGTTAGATCGTTGCTGACCAATTTAGCGCAGTTGTAAACAAAGAAACAGCATAGATATGCTTATTTGGACATTGTCATTTATAATATTGGGCATCAAGAGAAAAACGGAGATATGATAATTACTTCCTAGTGCCTGAAAATCGTTTAGACCAAAGTTAGAAAAATATAAGTCAACTACATACAAAAATCTAGGAAAAATATTGCGAAAATAATCAATTTGTTAAGAAAAATGGAAAAATTAATGGCAAATATACACAACAGTTAAAGATTTTTTTTTCTATAAGTAAATTTTGAAGTTTCCACTTTTTTTCCTCTCCACTTTATTGCCTACTTAACTATTTAAAGAAAAAAAAATTGAAAATGGTTAATAATAATATATACTAGGGATATAAACGCCTATTTACTTTTATGAAATTATTTACTTAATAATGAGACCTAGGTAAACTAACCTATCTAGTAGTAAGGTTAGTCTCATAGAAAATCGTTTTGACAAAAGTTAGTAAAATGTAAGTCTACTACTTACAAAAATTAAGGAAAGGTATTGCGAAAATAATAAATTTGTTGAGGAAAATGGGAAAAGAACTGATAAATATACACAACGTTAAAGTTTTTTTTTTCCTAAAGTAAACTGAGAAGTTTTCTCATTTTTTTTTTTTTTTTTTGTTGCCCACTTGACTATTTAAAAGAAATAGTTGAAGATGGTTTAAAATTATAAACAAGGGATATGAAAAATTATTTAACTATTTACATATAATGAAAATCATAAATTTATAATGGTTGTGAGGCCTAGGTAACCTAACCTATCCAGCAGTATGGTTAGTCTCCCCACTACTTTTACCTCAGCCCCCCCTCCACTTCTCGTGAATGAACCTTTGGTTTCCGGATGTTCGGAAATCCGCAGCGCACCACCATCAGTACTTCATTCACTACCTTACACGACAATTCGGAACGTCATTAGTGCAATTCCGATTGACCGTGTAGGGTCCCCTTAAATAGCAAATTATAGAATAAAACACGATATGCATATAAATATATTTCATGCATGAATAATAAATACCATAAGCAGAGCAAAGTAAATAAACTTCAATGTTTTAGAAAAATATATGTAATGTTGTTATTCATTGAAAATAAATGACCTCAGTCTGCAACATTGCCTCGTGTAATAAAACAGGTTCTTGAAGGTAAAAGACTTCATTGTCAGTTTTGAATAATTCCAAATAATTCGCCATGGTCATGTTAATGGAATGAGGTAGGAAGTGTTACAAAGCGTGCAAATTTCTATTGGCTTGAAATAGTAATAACTATTATTAAACGTTAATTTAATATTATAATTTCCAGATTACCTAATCTGTGTTAGTGTTTTCGTCATTTGGAACGGGACGTTTAATACTAATAATCATTTATTCCGATTTTGCCCATTTAAATCCTGTTCTGATATGATGGCATCTAAGACCAGCTGTTTATTGTTTAAAAAAAAAAAAAATGTTGAAAGATTCGGTGTTGCGTGGGTGAGAGATATGGGAAGAACAATGGCGGGCTGACTGATGGTGTTTGAGCTCTGCCACAATGGCGGCGCTGGCAGATGATTCAAATCGGCAACGATAATTGTTAAGGCAAACCAACAACGGCTTCTCTCCTTCTTTGTTTTTTTTTTTTTTTTTTTTTTCTTTTCTTTCTCTTTTCTGTTCGTTAAAGGCCGCAAAGCTTTGTTTTTTAGGACAGTTGCCACTTTTGTCCACATGTTCCCACCAAACTGTTTTTTTTTTTATTTGTGTGTTAAGTCGATACGTTTGATTTAAAAAGAGGAAGGAGACGCGTCTCTGACGTTAATACATTTGGAGGTTTTAAATAAAACATGTTTTACTTTTTACTTTCACTTACCTATATATGTAATATAAAGTAAGGGTAAGTATTGCGATCGTGAAAATTTTCGAATCTCAGTTTTCAACGGAAATACATATTTTGATGTCCGCTGAGTTCAAATAACCAATTGTCGCAAAATGGTCTTTGTGTGTGAGTCTATATTAACAGTCTAGCTCATAAACAAAAGGTAGTACGAAACTGATATTAAGTATTTAAGGTTTGCATATAGGCCGGATGTGACAGCAACTTTTTCGTTAAAATCGGCTAACCGGAAATGCCACTTTATATGAACGCTGAAACACATTTTTACAACTTTCTCAAAAACGGCTCTAACGATTTTGATCAAACTCGGTGTATCATTGTATAATTAAGTGGTCTTTAATATCATTTAGGCCTTATCCCCGTTAATGTCACTTTACAGGGCTCTAATGCCCAATGTTCATATATGTCTCCCTCTAAACTACCTTTAATATGGTTTATTTTAAAAAGTTAACCACTCCACATTATTCAGAGTTACGAAAAAATGCTACATATTACTTTTGAAAGAATTTGATAAGTTGATAAAGGAGAAAAAAAAATTAAAATGCAGAAAAACCTGCGTTGCTATAGACTGTAGCTCCTAAACGAATGTACCGATTTCAATGAAATTCATTTTCTCGATACCCTTTAAATATATCTATATGACATACTTCAACGAAAAGAAGCTGGAAAAAAAGTTACGAGAGATGTTAAAATTAAATTCCGAATAACTCAAAAAGTACAGGTCGATATCGTTAATGGTTTTTAAAAGTTTATGGAATTTCATAAAAAAAAAAAAAAAAAAAATCGTTAAAATCGAACAATTTGGAGGAAACATATGGTCTCTAGTTTTTTCTCTGAAGAGGTGAAAATTTGGATAAATTTAAAATATATTTTTTTAATTGTTGAGACTAAAAAAACCTGTTTTCTACAGATATTTAATAAAGTGTCTTTCCTAAGAACATCTTTCATAAGAAAGTAGTACCTATATTTCTACTTTTATTCTCAGTTCTATATTTCAACACTGCAATCACCACCTCTTGAATCAACTTACTCATTGTCTGCATAGATAACTTTTTCAACTAATAATATCACTAAAATGACATCACTCAAAAATGTTGAAATTGGAGTTAGTCATTCAGTGGTTTATAAAAACAGATGGAGTTAATAAATTTTTATTGCCTGTCGTCGATACATTAAATAGACATTTTGTAATTATAATGGTCTTAATGACTTGTTATCTGTAAGCTTTAGCTCCATTTGCACTTCAAAAAATCGTATAATAGCCCAGCATTGCCAGAAAATAATTTCTATTCAAAGTAGATCAGTAAGTGAAAGTTGTGTGTTGCGCGCACCAGATTTTTTTTAAGGAATACTGCCCGACTTATAGTGAACCAATTCCCATTTTACAAATTATACAACTGTTCATTTAATTCTACAACTCGTTGCTTAAATTGTATAACTGTAATTTATATGTATTCTGTTGTTCATATTGTATTAGTTTTTATCAACATAAAGCAAACTAAACGAAACCATATTTTGTACAAATTTTTAATTTATTTAATAACCTACATTATGCATCGCGCCTTATTGCCAATTTATATTATTATATAATTATAATTGTATAACTGTAATTTATATGTATTCTGTTGTTCATATTGTATTAGTTTTTATCAACATAAAGCAAACTAAACGAAACCATATTTTGTACAAATTTTTAATTTATTTAATAACCTACATTATGCATCGCGCCTTATTGCCAATTTATATATATAAAGTCTAGCTCATAAACAAAAGTAGTACGAAACTGATATTAAGTATTTAAGGTTTGTATATAGGCCGGATGTGACAGCAACTTTTTCGTTAAAATCGGCTAACCGGAAGTGCCACTTTATATGAACGCTGAAACACATTTTTACAATTTTCTCAAAAACGGCTCTAACGATTTTGATCAAACTCGGTGTATC